GTGTATTTCCAGTTTTGGAAACCCGACGCGGTAGCCTGTATTTGCGGCTCCGGTTTTCTTCAATGCGTATCTTATTTCTGGTGAGTTTTGTAGACAGTAAATTCAGGCTTAAAACGTTCCTGAACTATAGCCGTGATCCTCCATATCCTTCAGCTATCCAGTCGAGATTCAGAAGGTAGGCATTTGGTGAGCTCTTCATCGCGGTATGGTTCACTGACCACTGTCAAACCTCATTGTTTCACCCCGCTAGAGAAGGCCCGCAGCGGCATGTCTAACCTGTTCATCATGTACAGGGTTCGTGAGTTTCTGTTTTATGCTTAAGGACACTAGAGCGCTTGCTCCTAAAATATCAGTTTTGGCGACTGAATAAAACGTTGTCACCATTGCAGTCTCGGTCACCTTTTGCGTATCCATGAGAGGAACCATTCGAGACGCCGTTTTTTCTTTGAGCTCATGATGTGGCGATGATGTCTGTTTCGACGTCAGCCTGACTGTCTTCCTTTTTCAAAGGTGGCTACTGCAGATCAGTAATCACTACATTTTGTACTTTCTTGTTTCCTTCTGATATAGTGCCATTCGTTTTATTGGTTTTATTTACCATGGAACGACGAAGGAGGGATGAAATGGCCAGGGTTTGGACTCACGGTTTTTCGATTCTTGTGAATGGCACTCGATCAACTGAATTTTTCCATTTCTAGGAATAGGGGGGGGGCTGCCTTAAGTAATAAAATGATTCGAGGTCGACCTAAGCATTTTTACGTATGCAATGCTTCGAAAACATTGCCTGTTTCAGAAAACAATTAATGAACGCATGTTTTCTATCTAACTGGGTTTTACATTAACGAGTTTATATACCAGTATGGCTTTTTGAAACTCTGAATCAATCTACTTGAAAAGTGGTGTTCGTAGTACTTTTGCTTTGTTCCTAAAATATGACTGCCATGTTTCTTTTGAACTGTGATAAAGTAGCCATTTTTAGGGTTGCTGTCGTCATCGAGTTGCTGGACCGCGATGAATTCTGATGGACAAACAAAAATAATTTGCTATGCAGGCTCTGAGTTCTTTTTGATTGAGCAGGGCAAAACGGAGAAATTGGTAACGAGTTACTTCTTGCTGTTACACCAACCTTAGTTATGAAATTAATAATTATATCACCTCAGTTTTATCCAATAATTATATTTTTGCGTGTGAACTCCGTAAAATTAAGATAAAAACGGAACAGTTCCACAGCTTTAGTTCTGTGCTTCATATATAGAATTGTCTCGTTGTTGTCGAGAGCCAGACCCAGCTAATGGGCAAAAAATGATGGGCTGGCGATCGAAGCATCCACAGGCAAAGATCAGATAGTATGAGTTTTCCGAAATTGACGAATACTGTCGTTTCAAACTCTCGCGTCAAATGAAATAAACGGATATATGGATCTCTTTGAGTGTTTTATGAACATTTTTTAAAACTCTTGTTATTTCTTTCCTGACAGATAATAATATGCAGCATATGTTATTATAATTATTAAAACTAAGTCCAGATCAAAGCTTAATTTACTAGTTTTTATGATTATATGACGTTATATTTCCTTCATATTCTCTTCCATCGCCGCTTCTCTTTTCGGGTCTCAGAGGCAGACGCGTCAGACAGAAGTTCCAACGTTCCTGATCCTGTGCCAGAGTCTGAGCTTCGGCAGAAGACACCTGGAGTCTGGAGCGGACTCCTTCCATATATTTGCGCCAGGTTAACCTTGGCCTTACCCTGGGTCTTCCGTCGGTCGGTTTCGCAAGAAACAGTTGCTTAGAGTTTCTTTCTGGAGGCATTCGCAACAATCTTATATTTCTGTTAAATATAAACTACATGCGGTTTCTGAATTGCCTATCCAATTGAAATAAAGTAAGGTAATGTTATTATGTTATACAAACGCTATGTTCTTTGAAGTGGAATATGCGGTAGTTAGCAGTGGGAATAGGTAAAACCATTTGGCTATTGCTATCCTGAAACGCTAACCTTTTTGATGGCACTGATGTGATTTTTGTGCTTTAATGTACTAAGCTGTTAGCGAAATAACGCCTAGTTAATTTAATCTGTTCTAAAGTAGTTCTCTGCAGATAGACCATTCCTTGCCCGATTTTATAATTTCCTGCAGTGACATGGTCACTAGCCAGCATAAGTGATTGGAAGTACCTTGAAGCTTTTATGTTGCAACTGCGCTTTTTTTAACAACGTAGTATTTGTGCAAGCTGTTGGGAAAGTTTCAAGGTTGTCTCAGGCAGAGGTCTTGTATTTCGGTTGTTTTCGTTTCAATGTTTATTGTTGTTATTTGAAGTGTATCCCGTCAAAATTACTACATTACGGATTTGTAAACGTGTCATTGGCTTCGAAGCAACCAGATTTACCTCTCTGTCAACCAGATGGTATCGACAATGTCGTTTCTTCTGTTTTTTCTGTACGTCTGTTTATTTTGGCTTGCTCGTGAATGAGTTAGATTTTTTATACATTTGTTATTTTACGCTTTAATTTTGTTTGCTATTATCAGATCCCATGCATCTTCACTATTGAATTTCTTGCTTAATTAAGTCAGGCGTTATTACTTGCATGTTCAAGATGATAATCATTTCTTTTCTCATATGGATAGTCAGATTTATCGTATTAAGTATGAAATTGCAGGCATAGATTCTAGGGAGTTTAATTTGAATTTCTGTTATGCAATGACATGGAACATCTGTTTATCCAAATAGGTAGCACTATTGCCCTCTGTTTGGGTTATCCTTTTATTCATTACTTCCTCTGCTGGGTTTTATTGCTGAGTATAACAACAAGACTTTTTTCACTTTCATTAACCGCTCAGTCACGCTCGGTAAAGTATTCATTAGTGCTGCACAAGCTGTCAGAAATTGTCGTTAACAAGATGTCCATATTGGCTTTGTCTTTTGATAATGAACGATTGTTGCACTGATATGGAAAGTTGGAAGAAATAGTTATGGTGGTATTGGTAAAGTATAGGAATATTGCAGAGATCTGGGCAGGTTACCTATGTGAGGAACGATATGAAATGGGCAGTGTAATGAATAAACTATTCTGTCTGAAGTGTACCTATCTGTATCATACTCATACATGACTAGTATGATTCAGTCGGTATAACGCTTACCTCATTCAAAAGATCACGGAATCAGGTACTGTCTGGATTATTTTCTTCCATCATTCCTTTGTAGGTGAAGGATTTCTGCTGTAAACAAAGGAAACAGAAGATTTTACGTCGTAATGGATATAATTGATATCTAGTGGAGTAGGAAATGTACGATTTGAAATCATGACCTAATGTTTTGCCTGTTAACATGGTTACTTGCACTTCTCTTTCGCCAAGAACATCAGCAACAGGTGAGTATTTGTTCCTTATGCCCAAACCAAATCCCACTGTTTGTGTGTAAGAGTAGAGAAATCAGTTAGTTATATATTCACCAAAGCAACAGGGTTTCCCTTAGCATGCTTGAAATGGCAAAGACCTTTTAAACAAACGCAGTAGTGAAAAGTTGCAGTTACTGCTTTAAATAAGGGCAGTTTTGGTTGGTTGCCTTCAAACGGAGATCAGCGCTTTATCCTAGGCTCCATGAAGTAAGACTGACGTTGATAATTTTCGTAATGAAAGTTTGATCAGGATCCCAACGATTGCAAAGTCTTTTTTTTGACAGGCAATAAGTCAGAAAGTTGATCCTGAAAGATTTTCAAATTCTTTAAAATGATGTAATATGTATAGCTGAAGAGGTGAGGCACTTAATCCTATAACCAAAATAGCTTTCAGAAAGCGTTGCGACTCATCTTTAGAAAGGATTTATAATTTGGGGTTAACTGAGTATTTCATAGTGAACATAAAAAGTTTAATTGATTTACCTTGGTTTTGCTGTAATAAGGTTGCTAATTTCCTGATTTCTGTAACAGCTTTCCTATATATATGCCAATTTTCAAGCTTGCACCATTTGAAGCATGTGATTTTCGCTGCATCACCATGGCGCTCTCTCCGGACAACCAGAAATTAGCGCTTTTCGAAGCTAACGGAAGGATCATTGTCACTACGTTCGACCTTACTGTAAGTATACTCAGTTTTGGTGGTTTTCGCTGTTAAATATGTTTATAGGATGTACTCAGTTATACAGTGAAGACAAAGATTAAAAGCACATTCTACATCTTATCAGTGGTTGTATGTATTGAATGATAGATAGCGCAGCTCAACTCTTGTTTCACAGCTCGGCTGTAAATAATTAATGAATGAAGGATTATTATTGATCTGGCTTCATTTGCAACTTATGAATACAATTCATTAGAAAACAGCATAAAACGCAAAAAATTATATAGTCAATCAGATGATTGACACTACCGATGGTCAGTGCCTCATTAGCCTTCTTCTAGGTAAGAGGTCAGTAGAGGTTTAGAAAATTTTTGCCCGCAAGGGTTGGTAGGTTTGGGGCCAGAAGGCAAGATTTTGGTCCGGCTAGCTGGTTAATAGTTTCTTGGTGATATGGATGACAAGGCTCATCCATACATCGTTTGGTGACTTGTTACAAAAATTACTTAACTTTAACTATATTCACGCTATATGTGTAATGTTTAGATCCAGTTAACTTAACGAGTTGTTAAGTAGTTTTGAGAATAACAACCCTCTAGGCTGGGATTTTGGGTCACCATGTAACTTCGGGATATATTATATCGAAGAAACAGGGAACACCGTCACCAGCGAGCAACGATCTACCTGTCAAGTTGTCGAAAGTGGATGGTCGCGGATGAACATGAACGACCGAAGCACCTCAGAAGAAAAAGCTTCACCCCTTGGAAAGTCAAGAAACAAGGCGAAAGGACTTCCCTCTGGCATTGTACAGCACACGGCACAGCAGGGACACGCCCCCGTAACGATCATAGTGTACCGACATCATGAAAGAAAGACACTGGCTCCACATGCGTATCAAGGAGGCATGAATTATTCAGTTATGCGACAGTATAAATCGCTATGAAGGTTATGAACTCCATGCGAATTAGATTAGCTTTGTTGCCCGTCGCTTAGAAACTACTGAACTAGCAGCACAGACCAAAATTTACCTTCCGACCCTAAGCCTGCCCACCGCGGCGAACAACAAGAACAACCACTAAACCTCTATCGACCTTTTACCATCATGAAACATGGACTGAAACGTCAGTATTGGTCATTCTTCTAATTGCATTTTAATGAACCGTGTGTTATGCTATTTTTATGCCATGAGAAATGTCAAATCATTTTAAATCTTCAGTATGTCGAAGTAAACCATTTTGAAGAAAGTCTTGGAGACATTGAGATTAAAGTGGCTGTTCCAAATGTTGACCTTCTTTACCTTTTGTCTTTATTTCATCGTATTTGTTGCCCTTGAAGCTACATCTAACACTGGTTTACGACAGACTTTCCTCTGATCTAGAAATTCCCATTGAAACTCTTAACTCAGGTCGCATATCTGTGCGACATAGTGTCGGCGACAACAGGCAGCAAGAATGTACTGTACTGTTAATGTGGCAATCATTACATAGGAGGCCGGGTACCTACACCGCGCTAGCTGTCAGTTCTGCGGTTTTGGCAACAGTCGGATGTTGCGGAAATCTCATGTTCAGAATGACGTCTAATAGTTTTGCGGGGTTTAAAGATCCGAAACTTTTATGTTATCACTGAAACGGTTCAGATGGTTGATAGAATTCACTGGTTTTTCGTAGATGTTCACGATTTGATTTTACGTGCTTCTCTTGACCCTAATCTGTTCCTCATGGTCCACAACCTGGTCACTATCGTTTCATGCATTCGATTTAAAATTATTG